TAATAAAAGAAAAAAAACGAAAGAAAATAAGAAAATAGCCTGCTTCAGTCTGTATTCAAATAAGGTCAGTTCTTTCTCTGGAGGCAGATAGTATGCTTCAACATTAGTCCTTTGGGATTGTCTTGTATCGTTAGATTGCTGAGAAGAGCTAAGTCATTCACAGTTCTTCATCGAACAATATTGCTGTTACTGTGTACAACATTGTCCCGGTTCTGTTCATTTCACTATGCATCAGCTCATGTAAGCCTTTCCAGGTTTTTTCTGAAATCATCCTGCTTGTCATTTCTTATAGCACAATAATATTCCATCACAATCATATACCACAGCTTGTTTAGCCATTCCCCAATTGATGGACTTCCCTTTGATGTCCAATTCTTAGCCACCACAAAAAGAACTTTTGTATAAATAGGTCCTTCTCCCCTCCTTTTTTTGGATGTTTGGGATATAGACATAGCAGTGGCATTGCTGGATCAAAGGGTATGCATAGTTTTATGGCCCTTTGGGCATAGTTCCAAATTGTTCTTCAGAATGGTTGGATCAGTTCACAACTCCACCAGGAGTTTTCCCAGTTTTCCCACCTCTCCTCCAACATCCAACATTTTCCTTTTTTGTCATATTAGCCACTCTGATAGGTGGTACCTCAGAGTTGTTTTAATTTGTATTTCTCCAATCAATAGTGATTTAGAGCATTTTTTCATTGACTATAGATAGCTTTGATTTCTTTGTTTGAAAACTGCCTGTTTATATCCTTTGACCATTTATCAACTGGGAAATGACTTGTATTCTTATAAATTTGACTCAGTTCTCTATATATTTGAGAAATGAGGCCTTTATCAGAAATACTTGTTGCAAAAAAAAATTTCCCAGCTTTCTTTATAATTTTGATTGCATTGGTTTTGTTTGTGCAAAAACTTTTTAATTTTATATAATCAAAATTATCTATTTTAGATTTTGTAATGCTCTTTACTCTTTCTTTGGTCCTAAATTCTTCCCTTATCCATAAATCTGACAGATAAACTATTCTATGCTCTTTTAATTTGCTTATGGTATCACCCTTTATGTGTAAATCATATTCCATTTAGACTTTATCTTAGTATATAGCAGCAGATGTTGGTCTATACCTAGTTTCTGCCATACAGTTTTCCAGTTTTCCCAGCAGTTTTTGTCAGATAATGGGTTTTTGTTCCAAAAACCAAGATTATTTCAAGGAGCAAATGAGAACTTGGGAGTGTTGGTGTGGTCCAGCGGAGAGTACCAGTTTGAAAGTCAAGAAGTCCTGACTGTGTGACCTTGAGTAAGTCACTCAAGGTCTCAGTGGCACCAGACATGTCTCAAACTCCAAATGATAGAAGAGTTGTTGTTTCTGTATCAGTAGAAGCAGTTTTCTGAGGAGTTCGGTACATGGGAGAAATAATAAGATTGGACAAAAATGATTTGAAAAAAATTATCTGAAAACAGATGAGACATAAAGTCTTTCTGCATCCCCTCCCCCCATTATCTTATAATTGTTCTGTATCTGCTTAAAGGTACACGTGAAGTTTCTCTCCTATAGAATATCAGCTCTTGAAGGCAGGGAACATTTTCTTTCATTTTTTCCATTGTATCCTTACTACTTGGCATACCAAAGGTAGAAAGAAAGGGAACAAGCATTTATTAAGCACCTACTATGTGTCACATACTGTGCAAACTGCTTTATCTCATTTAATCCTCACAACAATCCCAGGATGGGGTGCTATTATTATCTCCATTTTACAGATGAAGAAACTGAGACAGACAGATGTTAAGTGACTCACCCAGTGTCACATAACTGGTAAGTATCTGAGGCTGTGAACTCAGGTCTTCCTGACTTTAAGTCCAGCACCCTTCTTGTCCACAACACTACCTAGCAGTCTCTGGTAATCATGGGAGTGTGTCATTTTCGAGCTGGAAGGGATTTTAAAGGCCCTTTTATCCATCTTCCCCTCATTTAACAGATAAAACTTGCCTCTTTGAAGCAGTAAGGGGACATTTTAGGACAATTATAGGGGGAAAATGGCATTCAACTTTTCCTTTGTCCCTCTCACAGTGCAGATTGCAGCACATCTGTGCCATCACAGCTTGAGCTATCATCTGGATCTCTCCATAAATGCTCCATAAGTGACTTTCCCAGGGCTCTGGAAATTTTCCTTTAGGTCAAGGGTTCTCAACCTGAATAACTGCTAACTGGATTTCCCTATAACTGATGTCTTTTTGTAATTTTATGTATGCCATTTTATGCATTTACAAATTTTATTCTGGGGAGTCCACCATCATTGGTCAGTAAACATTTATTAAATGACTACTATGTGCCAGGCACTGTGCTAAGCACTGGCAGTACAAATACAGAAGAAAGACAATTTCTTCTCTCAAGAAGTTTCTGGTCTGATGCAGGAAGGAGGCTGCAAAGGGCTTGGGGTAGGGGAGGAGAAGGTACCCGAATGGGGTTGGGGGGGGTGATGAACTCCCAAAGTTCAGAGGAGTCCCAGAATAGCTCAGACAGATGAGAAATAAAATGTTATGAGCTGAGCTTTCCCCTTAAATGGGAGCTTGGAGTCCATGGCCCTATCCTCTAATCAGAGAGGCAGAGGGTGGTGGAGCCCAAGGCTGATGAGATCTCACAGGCTGATGAGGTGATCCCAACAATAAATGAGCTTCTGGGGCATGGGGGAGAAGTCAGTTAGGAAAGTCCCAAAGTAGGGTAGCCAGGTGAGGAATGAGGAGATGTCAAAGCTGAGCTCCCTTCCTTAGTAGAGGCTTGGAGTTCATGACCTCATCCTCCAATCAGAAAGGCTCTGGGGTCCCAAGGCTGATGGGATCTTCCGGGCTCCATGACGCTTTCTGCTGAGGCATCCTGGACACAGAAGGGTCCAGAGCCCCTGCTCCAGGTCTTTCTGTACCTTGATCATTCCAGGGCATTGTTCATCCTATCACCTGCTCTCCTTCAACAACCAACTCATCTCCATGTTCATACACATCCTTGATGGCGCCATTTCCTTACTATCATCCTCAGTTGCTCCAGCTCACTTTTAAAAAATGCATTACGCTAATGCATTTTATCTTTCCGTTGTTGTAACTTCTGGAAAAGAATGTCATCTGCCCTTATCTCCCCCACCCCATGCCTTCCAAATTGAATCCCTCCTTGTAACAAAGGGAAACAATTAAGCAAAAACAGTGTCTGCCACTGACTCTGTATAAGCCATTCTGTCCCAGTAGCCCTCCGCTTCTCTGAGGGGCAAGAGTCCTGGTCCACGTATTCTCCACAGTCCTCACTGGTTTTCCATTTATGTAGAGTCCAGCTGCCTTTTAGGTCTTCACATTCCATTGTTGTAGCCACTGGCTCTGTTGTTCTCTCCATTCTCCTTTCACTCTGCCGTGCCACATGCGAATCTTCTCATCTTGCCTGAATTCCACATATTTGCCATTTCTTACTGGATAGTAATATTCTGTTACATTCAGATACCATAGGTTTTTTTTTTTAGTCTTTCCATCAATTAAAGAACACCCACATTGCTTCCTTTTTTACTGCAAAGAACGATAAGCACATGGATATTTTGGCATATAGCATATGTTTCTGTCTTTGAGTTAGTCAGTAAACAAGCATTTATTAAGTGCCTACTGTGCTCCAGGTGCTTGGCCAAGAGCTGGGGATACAAAAAAAAGGCCAAAACCACTCCTTCCTTTAAGGAACTCACAGCTTAATAGACAAGACAACAGGCAAGCCACTATATACAAGCAAGATATCAACAAGAGAAATTGGAAATAACTCCAAAGGCAAAGCACTACCACTCAGGGGATAAGGAAGGTCTTTTGTAGAAAGTCAGATTTTAGTTGGGACTTGAAGGAGATCAGAAAGTCAGGAGATGGAGATGAGGAGGGAGAAAATTCCAAGCCTGGGGGATGGCCAGGGAAAACTCGTGGAGTCAGGAGATGGCATGTATTAAGTGAGTTTCCTGGAGTCTATGCCCAAGAAGAGGTCATTGGGTGAAAGATTGAAAGTTTAGTCACTTTGCTCACATGATTCCAAATTAAAAAGCAGAAGGGTTGGAACAATCCATAACTCCACCAGCAGTATTTTAGTATGCCTGACTTTCCAAATCCCTTATAGCATTGTCGCTTCCTGTTTTGGGTTTTTTTTTTTTTTGGTCATGTGCACTGATTTGCAGGTGAAACCTCAGAGTTATTTTAACTTGCTTTTGTGGAAGAAAAACAATCTATCCTTGTGTTTTAGCCAAATCTGTCAGAAGAATATTCTTATGAAAGTACTTGCTACTTGGATGGAAATTCTGACTTTTTCCCTCAAGCAGTTTCCAACTCATATTTTATAGTAATTGTGAAACAAAAGATGAAATTCCGTGAAAACAGTAAACAAAGCATCTAGTTTCTATTTGGGTTTTAAGAATTATTAAACAGAGATCAGGGTTAAACATTGGTGCACACATCTTTGGAGAAGATGTTTTTTGGAAACTAATTATTGCCACTAATTAATACCTCCCTTTTTGGCTCTGTCAGTGGTAAACAAAGGGAATACTTCATTGGTTGCAAACAATAAAAAGACATTCCACCTCCTAATTTGGATGCCATAAACTGTCTAACGATCTACTTACTCCCTCTGCCTTCTTTGGGAGAAATAAATACACTCTCTAGCTTGATTAAAAGTCAGATACCTATGTGTCAATCAAGCAATTGATCAACAGACATGATTAGGTTTTAAAAATTTTGGGAAAAAAAAAGATTGTCTACAACCTTTCACATTTTCTGGTACAAACTTTTTGATGGGTCAAGAAGAAAAAAGCATAACTGGCTAACCAAAGAAGCTAACCATGCTTCCAGGGGCTTGAAATATTAAGAGTAATTTCAGGATGGGGATAGTGAAGTGGTAGACCAGGCAACTAGTCCAGGCTTAGAGAGAATCCCTCCCAGAAGGGAGAATGAGAGTTTCTCTCACTTTCTTTCCTTCCCCCTTTCCATTGATGATTCACCAGGGAGAAGAGACCAGGTTGAGACAAGGCATCCATTGGGAAGTGGAGAAATACACATTGAAGACAAATATAGATGAACATGGACCCAGACAGATACAGAAGGAGGAGGAGAGATACCTGGAGGGGGAATCAGCTTCAAAGGATTTCCTTTGTGCTAGAGAGACGTGCAGGCTATGGATTCCGCAAAGGCACCTGTCCTCAGAGGTCAGCAAAGAGCTACACTAAAGGGAAACTTCATGAAGACTCTATAAGAGAGAAAAAGACTTCAAGTAACCGGGAGCTGGGAGGTACCCCTTTGTCACATATATTCTCTACCTCAATACCTTTGTACTTGGAGCCCACTCTCCCCAAGGACATGGTATGTAGAAGGGGACAAAGACAAATGTTTTTGTAACTACTCGTTGTACCTTCTCAGTAAATACATTTTTAAAAAACTAATTGTATCTGATTGACTGATTATCAAAGGAAACACATTGATGGGGGCTTGTGAGTATGGAGACTCATACATTCAGGGTAGGGTTAATCTTAGACTCCTGAGAATAGTAGTCAGCTGTCCTTTGGGTACCTGGTCCACTGTGGCTAGAATTTGGGAAAGAAGCTACAGAGTGGGTGCTAAATAACACAACTAAGATTTTAATGCATTCTTGAACATCTTTTTTTAAATTGGATTTTCTATTTTGAACTTAATAATCCACAATAAACAAAAAAATATTTCAATATATAAAGAAGAGAAAGAAAGAAGATTTTTATAAGAAATTGAATTTCTATTGTGTGCAGTTTTGTTTTTTTTTTTAGATAAGTATCCATGTAACCTGCTTATAGTGGAGGTCTGAGTTGCAGTGCTTGAAGCTGCTGAGGTCAACATGGAAGAGGAGGGCTCCCAGGAGGGGCCAAGAAAGGCCTGGTGGTCTGTGAAGAAGTGAACAGGGCCCAGGCTGGAAATGCTCTCATGCTGCTCTATCTGTATCCCCTTCTGTACTTTTTTGTTCTTTCTCTGAATTAAAATTGTTTATTGATGCTCGTGTGTGTGTGTGTGTGTGTTGTGTATCCATTTGATTCTTCCTCTGAAGTATTCGTTCATACGCACTGATTGTTTATGAATTGGGAAATGGCTCTTGGTGTTATATATTTGTGTCAATTCTCTACATATCTTAGAGATTAGATCTTTAATGATGACACTTGATGCAGAATTTTCTTACTCTCTAGTTTCTCTTATTCATGCAAACCACCATTTTTATGTAAGCAGAATTATCTATTTGCCTTTTTGGAATTTTTTCCCATTCTTTTTTTAATTAGGGTTCTCCCATCCAAAGTTGTGAAAGATACCTTCTTCTAGTCTTCATTTTTTTAAATGACATAACTTATATTCAGGTTGCATGCCCATTTAGAGCATTATTATTGTACGAAGGAGCAGATCTTGATCTAAATCTATTTTCTGCTACAGTTCTCCCAGAAATACGTAAGACTATAGATTTAGAGCTACAAGAGACATCAGAGCCCTTCTGATTCAACGTCTTCAATTTACAGCTGAGGACACTGAAGCTTCTAAAGGTCCTACAGGGAATGATCCTTAAAGTTTGGATTCAAACCCAGGTCCCCTGGCTCCAGGGCCAATGCTCAGTGCTCCTTCCCCTACACCACGCTGCCTTCCCCTCTTGTCACAAAGCTAGTCCTTCTCCCAGTAACACACTCATGGGTTTATCGAACACTGAACTATTTATTGTTTTCTGTTGTTTCTTTCCTTGCTTATCTAATCTCTTCCATTGATCTTCTGTGTGTGCTTTGTTTTTCAAGTGGCACTAAATAGTTTTGATGAGTAATGCTTCATAGCTGAGTCTAGTAATGAGATAGCCTCCTCATCTGTGCTTCTTCCTGATTATTTCCCTTGAGATCTCAGATCTTTCTGCAGCCTCTTCCTACGCATCTTGCATTTTGTCATCTTTTGGGTTATTTGTAATTCTCCTTTATCTCACGTCATTCTGAATCATCACCACCAGAATTAGTATTAGAAGGATGGGCCTTTGCAGGAAGAACAGCTGTGGATTATTGAAGGCACTAGGGATTTTCTCACACGCAATCCAGCTGTCTCTTCTATTCCACTCTGTGCCTTGCCCATTATCCACCTATGGCGCCTGTCCAAGATAGAGGTATGGGGGCAGGGGGCTAACCCTATGCTGCAGAATTAGATTTGAACTGTTTGTCTCCAGAAGGAATGACTAGAACCAATGACTGGAAACTGCAAACAGGCCTGATGGAAAGTTAACCTTCTTGACAATTCAAGTAATCTCAAGGCTGGGATGGGAGGGAGATCGCCATCCTAGAGATCTTCAAGAAAAGGCTGGGTGATCATTTGTTGGGTATATTGTGATGGGGTATGGCTTGGCCTAGATGGGACCATCCAACTCTGAAATTCTACTGAACCCAATGGGCTGCTTTTCCAACTGTATAGCATGCTCTATGAATGTTATCCATCCACTTGTGTTGTCCCATGTTGATCTCTAGGCCAATCTCTTCTGAATAGCCATGGAACTTATTGAGAAGGCTCCATTGAATTATGTGGCTCAGTGAAATCAGCAGAGAGCAATGTTTGAATAGAAGCATCTGGAAGGCTTTACTATCTATAGGAAACCCTCTTTTATTTGGACTCTGCAGGACATCCTCCACAACACCAATAGCTCTTCAAGAACCTGTCTCACTGTTTCACGTTTCATGTTGATCATTAGAGGATCTTTACATATGTATATGGAAAATCTTGAGTGACAACTGAATTTCCCATGAAATGATGTTTCTTGCCACTCTGGTACAGGATGACGCCAACACCAATTCTTCCATGTGTTTCCCCAAGGAGAAGCAATGGGCCCTCCTTCTATCTGGCTCCAATGTTTTATCCGCTAGTTTCAGTTATAAGGTGACTATCAATACAGCTGCAGTTTGGTTCCCGCAGTGGCATATCAACTTGTTAGCCATCAGACAAAGGTTTCACATTTAGAGATGTAACAGGTAGACAAATCTTTGTAGATTTGTTAAGAACTGTGATGCTCATTCTCTTTTTCTGCTGTTATTATAGAGGCAGAATAGGGCACACAGGACATAGGGCTATCATGTTGAATTTGGAACCAGAGGACCTCAGTTTGAATCCCATCTCTGTCTCTTTCTACCTGTAGGACTGTGGACAAGTAAATTCACTGCTGTGCCTCAGTTTCCTCATATGTATAATGAGGGAGTTGGACTAGATGGTCTCTAAGGTCCTTCCCAGCTCTGTGATCCTCTCAGAGAGGGGCAGGTAGAAGAGGAGCCTCCATGCCAGGAAGGGCAAAGGGTGACATCTGGGGCCAACCTTCTGCTGATCTTTTCTCAATACCTGCTCTGGTCTCCACATTCTGCAGCCTCTTTCCCATCCACTAGCTGGAAAATCTGCTCTGACTTTAATGAAGGAACTGATAAAAGAGGAGAGGAAAACATGGTGTCCTACATTGAAAGTGTTTCAGTAGAAACACATTCTAACCCCCTTACATTCACATTCAAGAACATACAAAAGGAGACGTGACCTATGTGGCTCTGGTTGCATCAGTCAGCAGGAGTGGCTGTCATTTCCACTGGAGAGGCTCATGGGATTGTGGGAAAAGCACTGGATTGGGGGTCCAGAGAGCTGGGTTCCAATTCTGGCTCCTGACACTTCCTAGCAGTTGGGACTCCTGGCAAGTCACCTAATTTTAACAATTGGTATTTAGTAATCAATTGCAAAGTATATTACTCTAGACATCTCAGTTGAATCTCACAGTAACCCTTTGAGGTGGGTACTATGGACATTGTTATCTCAATTTTACAGATGAGAAAAAACTTGGGTTCTGAGAACTTAACTTATTTGCCCATGATCATCAGAGGTGGCATTCAAAGCCAGATCTAACTGACTTCAAGTCTGGCACTCAAATTACTATTCTATGTTGCCCAGGGAACTAAACCTCTTTGAGCTTCTATTTCTCCATCTATAAAATGGGATAGCAATGCTTGTAATTCTATTTTGCAATGTTGTCACTGAAAAAAAAAAACACTTTGGAAAGCTAGGAGTCTTGTAGAAGTGGTTTATCCATTGATTCAGCCAGGCTTTACTAAGTGCCTGTTGTTTATATTTATAAACATGACATAGCTAGTAAGAGCTGAGTTCAGATCCTGGAAGAGCTAGGTTCAAGTCTCGCCTCCGACACAGACTGTTCGACTCTGGTCCAGATGCTTCATGTCTCTCAGCAGTTGAGGTGACTGTCTATGACCATGGGCTGGAGAAAGGGGGTGTTTCTGAGAGCGAAAACACAGGCTCAATCCCTATCTGAGCTGTCCAACATTGGAAGTGGTCCTCGAAAAAGATACAGAGATGCTCCAGGTGAAGAATCACTAAGTGTTAAGGACTCGGGAGAAGAAAAGCCCCCCTGGGCATGCTGAGCACCAGTGACTGCAGCCACCTTGGAAAAGTTCTCATCCACTGAGACAGCCCTTCATATACCTGAATGGCAGCAAACCTCCCATGCTTGGAGGGTAAATGCGATTTGTGTTAATGAGCTGAGACAACTGGAAACTCCCAACAAATACTGCATCTTTCTGGCTGCAAAATGCAAAACTCTGATTCCCAGAGGGATCCCTTTGGCTGATTAGTCTTCCATTCATGTGATTTCCAAGAGCATGGAGGGCAGCGGAGGGGGAGCTCATAGGCAGCCTTGGGGTCTTCACCAAGACGCAGGTGTTCCTCACCCACCTGCCTGGAAGGTGCTTTCTCAGGCCAGTGAACTTGGTTTCCAGATGCTCCTGCTTTGAAAGAGACACTGGCAGAGTTAGACACGCTATCATATCTCTGATAGCCAGGGTGGATCAACCATACTCACACAGAATAGAAAGAAAGAGACAAAAGTTGACTGAGCCTAGGATGTAGGAGTTGTCTACCTGGATGTCGTTAGTAAGTCTCTGCCTAGAGGTGGAAGGAAGGCCAGACTGGTCAAGTCTCCTCCCCACCTCCAGTGCATCCTCTGAAAGTAGAAGGAGCTAGCTTGAGTGACATCAGTGGTTCCTTCCAACACCACCCACGTAGTATATGGCAGAGCACCAGGTGCTGAAAGAGATGGGAATACAGCATGGGCGTATCAAGTCAGACGCCCTGGGTTCAAATCTCGATCACTACTTGGGTGACCTTGTACTACTGACAATGTTTAACTATAAAACTCGTACCTGGATTTAGACATGGTCAAGACCTTAGAGGCCATCTAGTCCAAACCCTGCATTTGAGGTTCAGGAACTCACCTAAGCTCACCCAGATATCTCATGAGCTTCAGATGGATTGTAGGAGCCATTAACTAGTTGTATGACTCTTTTTGGGCCTCAGTTTCCTAGTCTGTAAAACAAGAGTGTTGGACTAAGTGGCCTAAGTTCTTTCCAGGTCTAGATCCTTCTTTAAGAAAAAGAAACTCAGCTTCGTAGGTATACATTTTCAGTCGTACAATGGAGTTATGGGATCAATAGCTGAACAGAATGAATTTCATTAAAGATTTACTGTGTGCCAAGTATGTATGGGACCATAGTTCAATCCTCCATTTTATAGAAGAAGCAGCGGAAGACCAGAAAAGGGATGTGAGTGAAGGTCATATGGGTGCTGGATTTAAAGTCAAAGGACTCGAGTTCAAATTCAACCTATCACTTATTACCTGTATGACCTTGGGTAAGTCACTTGAGTTCTCTAG